GGGCGGGTCTGGGTGAGGTGCCCTTCAGAAAGTCAGTGTGGACTTGTTAGACCGAATGGCCTGTTTCCACACTATGGTACTATTGCTACAAGTGAAAGAACAAACCTATGTCCCCATCTTACAGCAGGAGAGATGTAGTGATTGTAACAAAGTCAACCAGGTGTACCTCATCGAATATGAGTTCACCGATTGGGTTGTTAACCTGGTCCAATCAGGGAGCACTGGCTGATAGATATAAACAGGAGTGTTACTGGCTCCTTAATCACATGGGTGTCTTTCCTGGTGGTGGTATTTTAATAAAGTTATTTGCACACCTGGTGTTTTTACTGTGAGAAGATGGCAAAACAAACGGGAAAAAAATATGTAAACAGGAGTGTCAGACATCCTGCTCACTCTGAGAGCTGGCTGTGAGGAATCTGGATCAGTGTCAAATTACTATGCACATAGAACATTACAGCGCAGTACAGGCCCTTCGGCCCTCGATGTTGCGCCGACCTGTGAAACCAATCTGAAGCCCATCTAACCTACACTATTCCATATCATCCATATGTTTATCCAATGACCCATTTAAATGCCCTTAAAGTTGGTGAGTCTACTACTGTTGCAGGCAGGGCATTCCACGCCCTTACTACTCTCTGAGTAAAGAACCTACCTCTGACATCTGTCCTATATCTATCACTCCTCCATTTAAAGCTATGTCCCCTCGTGCTAGCCATCACCATCCGAGGAAAAAGGCTCTCGCTGTCCACCCTATCTAATCCTCTGATCATCTTGTATGTCTCTATTAAGTCACCTCTTAACCTTCTCTCTAACGAAAACAACCTCAAGTCCCTCAGCCTTTCCTCATAAGACCTTCCCTCCATACCAGGCAACATCCTGGTAAATCTCCTCTGCACCCTTTCCAATGCTTCCACATCCTTCCTATAATGCGGCAACCAGAACTGTACGCAATACTCCAAGAGCGGCCGCACCAGAGTTTTGTACAGCTGCAACATGACCTCATGGCTCCAAAACTCAATCCCTCTACCAATAAAACCTAACACACCGTACACCTTCTTAACAACCCTATCAACCTGGGTGGCAACTTTCAGGGATCGATGCACATGGACACCGAGATCTCTCTGCTCATCCACACTACCAAGAATCTTACCATTAGCCCAGTACTCCTTCCAAAGTGAATCACCTCACACTTTTCCGCATTAAACTCCATTTGCCACCTCTCAGCCCAGCTCTGCAGCTTATCTATGTCCCTCTGTAACCTGCAACATCCTTCCGCACTATCCACAACTCCACCGACTTTAGTGTCATCCGCAAATTTACTAACCCATCCTTCTACGCCCTCATCCAGGTCATTTATAAAAATGACAAACAGCAGTGGCCCCAAAACAGATCCTTGCGGTACTCCACTGGTAACTGAACTCCAGGATGAACATTTCCCATCAACCACCACCCTCTGTCTTCTTACAGCTAGCCAATTTCTGATCCAAACCACTAAACCACCCTCAATCCCATGCCTCTATTTTCTGCAATAGCCTACCGTGGGGAACCTTATCAAACGCTTTACTGAAATCCGTATACACCACATCAACCGCTTTACCCTCATCCACCTGTTTGGTCACCTTCTCCAAGAACTCAATAAAGGTTTGTGAGGCACGACCTACTCTTCACAAAACCGTGTTGACTATCCCTAATCAAATTGTTCCTTTCTAGATGATTATAAATCCTATCTCTTATAATCCTTTCCAACACTTTACCCACAACCAAAGTAAGGCTCACTGGTCTATAATTACCAGGGTTGTCTCTACTCCCCTTCTTGAACAAGGGGACAACATTTGTTATCGTCCAGTCTTCTGACACTATTCCTGTAGACAATGACGACATAACGATCAAAGCCAAAGGCTCTGCAATCTCCTCCCTAGCTTCCCAGAGAATCCTAGGATAAATCCCATCCGGCCCAGGGGACTTATCTATTTTCACACTTTCCAGAATTGCTAACACCTCCTCCTTATGAACCTCAATCCCGTCTAGTCTAATAGCCTGTATCTCAGTATTCTCCTCGACAACATTGTCTTTTTCCTGTGTGAATACTAACGAAAAATATTCATTTAGCACCTCTCCTATCTCTTCCGACTCCACGCACAACTTCCCGCTACTGTCCTTGACTGGCCCTAATCTTACTGTAGTTATTCTTTTATTTCTGACATACCTATATAAAGCTTTAGGGTTTTCCTTGATCCTACCTGCTAAAGACTTCTCATGTCCCCTCCTGGCTCTTCTTAGCTCTCTCTTTAGGTCCTTCCTGGCTAACTTGTAACTCTCAAGCACCCTCACTGAGCCTTCACGCCTCATCTTTACATAAGCCTCCTTCTTCCTCTTGACAAGACATTCAACTTCTTTAGTGAACCATGGTTCCCCCGCTTGACCACTTCCTCCCTGCCCAACAGGTACATACTTCTCAAGGACACGCAGTAGCTGTTCCTTGAACAACCTCCACATTTCAATTGTGCCCAGCCGCTGCAGTTTCCTTCTCCATCCTATGCATCCTAAATCTTGCCTAATCACCTCATAATTGCCTTTCCCCCAGCTATAACTCTTGCCCTGCGGTATATACCTATCCCTTTCCATCACTAAAGTAGACGTAACTGAATTGTGGTCACTATCACCAAAGTGCTCACCTACCTCCAAATCTAACGCCTGGCCTGGTTCATTACCCAGTACCAAATCCAATGTGGCCTCGCCTCTTGTTGGCCTATCTACATACTGTGTCAGGAAACCCTCCTGCACACATTGGACAAAAACTGACCCATCTAAAGTACTCAAGCTATAGCGTTTCCAGTCAATATTTGGAAAGTTAAAGTCCCCCATAACAACTACCCTGTTACTTTCGCTCCTATCCAGAATCATCTTTGCAATTCTTTCCTGTACATCTCTGGAACTTTTTGGAGGCCTCTCGAAAACTCCCAACAGGGTGGCCTCTCCTTTCCTGTTTCTAACCTCAGCCCGTACTACCTCAGTAGATGAGTCCTCATCAAACATCCTTTCTGCCACTGTAATACTGTCCTTGACTAACAATGCCACACCTCCCCCTCTTTGACCACCTTCCCTGATCTTATTGAAACATCTAAACCCCGGAACCTGCAACAACCATTCCTGTCCCTGCTCTATCCATGTCTCCGAAATGGCCACAACATCGAAGTCCCAGGTACCAACCCATGCTGCAAGTTCACCCACCTTATTCCGGATGCTCCTGGCGTTGAAGTAGACACACTTCAAACCACCTTCCTGCCTGCCGGTACACTCCTGCGACCTTGAAACCTTATTCATGACCTCACTACTCTCAACCTCCTGTACACTGGAGCTACAATTCAGGTTCCCATCCCCCTGCTGAATTAGTTTAAACCCTCCCGAAGAGCATTAGCAAATTTCCCCCCCAGGATATTGATACCCCTCTGGTTCAGGTGTAGACCATCCCGTTTGTAGAGGTCCCACCTACCCCAGAATGAGCCCCAATTATCCAGGTATCTGAGTCACTCACTCCTGCACCATCCCTGTAGCCATGTGTTCAACTGCTCTCTCTCCCTATTCCTCACCTTGCTAGCACGTGGTACGGGTAACAAACCAGAGATAACAACTCTGTTTGTTCTAGCTCTAAGCTTCCACCCTAGCTCCTTGAGTTTCTGCCTTGCATCCCCATCCTTTTTCCTACCTATGTCGTTGGTGCCTATGTGGACCACGACTTGGGGCTGCTCCCCCTCCCCCTTAAGGATCCCGAAAACACAATCCGAGACATCATGGACCCTGGCACCTGGGAGGCAACACACCAAACGCGAGTCTCTCTCGTTCCCACAGAATCTCCTGTCTGTCCCCCTAACTATGGAGTCCCCAGTGACTAATGCTCTCCTCCTCTCCCCCTTTCCCTTCTGAGCAACAGGGACAGACTCTGTGCCAGAGACCTGTACCCGATGGCTTACCCCTGGTAAGTTGTCCCCCCCAACAGTACCCAAAACGGTATACTTGTGATTGGTGGGAACGGCCACAGGGGATCCCTGCACTGTCTGCCTGTTCCCTTTCCGTCCCCTGACTGTAACCTATCTACCTTTTTCCTGTACCTGAGGTGTGACTACCTCCCTTTAACTCCTCTCAATTAACCCCTCAGCCTCCTGAATGATCCGAAGTTCATCCAGCTCCAGCTCCAGTTCCCTAATGCGGTTTCCGAGGAGCTGGAGTTGGGTGCACTTCCCGCAGATGAAGTCAGTGGAGACACTCGTGGTGACCCTTACCTCCCACATTCTACAGGAGGAGCATGCAACTGCCCTAACATCCATTCCCACTGTTCTGAATTCCCAAACAGACTATTGAAAAGAAAACAAAAACTAGTAACCTTACCAAATTGGCGCTCAGAACCTTTTTTTTGGTTAGAGGAGGAGGATGGGGGGAGACACTACCTAAGTAGTGTTTCGGGTAAAGCAACCGCCCAAATATATTACCTCACTTACTCAGCCGTCCCGTGTCCGCTCCTGCTCAGCGTGCGCTCAGCCTATTCACGAGGTAAGTTTTTAAGCGATTAACTTACCTTCCTGGCAGCCCCCTGGTCCTCGATCTCACTGCTCCCGCTGCTGCTGCAAAAATGGAGGCCGCTGATCCCACGAGGTAAGCTTTTAAACGATTAATTTACCTTCCCGGCAGCCCCCTGGTCCTCGCTCTCACTGCTCCCGCTGCTGCTGCAAAAATGGATAAATAATGGATAAATGGACATAAATAAAGGGTGACTTGGTGATAGGACACCCGCCTCTGTGGGGTTATTTCTGATGGCTTGTCTGTAATGTCAAATCACCATTTCACCTGCAGGTAACATCTCACCCTTTGCTGAACAAGAACCTACCTGTGCCTTAAGAATATTTAAAAACTCTGCTTCCACCACCATTTGCCTCATTTATGTTTTAAATGAGTGATGCCTGTGTTCTAATTACTATGTCTCCTTGTTTTCTTCCTGTCACTAGCTGCCATTGATTTGAAGCCCAGTGACCCTCGCTGGATTGGTGCCTGGTGGCTGGGATTGTTAATATCAAGCAGCATTCTGGCCATCACCTCTGTCCCTTATTTCTTTTTCCCTCGAGAAATGACTCCTCAAAAGGTAAGAACCCACTTTCCTATTACCTTACTCTTTGTTTAATGACTATTTGATCTGTATTGATGAAATGGAGAGTCTTATGTGTCCAAACATTGCTGTTGTGTTGGAAAGTGCAGTTGCCAATTCATGATGAGTAACAACTCAAACAGCAGTGAAAAGTGTCCAGGCGTGACCTGTCAAAAATAAAACAGGACAAATCCAATCCATACACTGTCTGTCAGCCTACTCCCAGCAATCAGGAGAAGTGATGGCAAGTGCCATTGACTGTGTGATACAGCTGCATTTACTTAGGAATGACCTTCTCATCAATATTTGTTTGGGTTCCTACAGAGCCACTCCATTCCAGATTTTACTATAGTTCAAGAGATGAACTGAGAGTAGTGGCCAATCATTAGGCATTGTGCCTCTGGGGGAGCCAGGACCACCACCATCACCTCCCTGCTTCCCCAACCTTTAAATTTTTTTGTTAAGTATGATTAATGTTGGGATTTCTGGAGAGATTCTTGCCACAAGGCCTACTGAGGTTTCTCGCCATATCTTACGAACCACACATCATAAACCACCTATCCCTCTCCAGTGACAACCCTCACGCCTGGTTCTATCTCCATCTCACCATATGTCATTCCTAGAACAACATGCCATTCACTGGATGTCTATGCCATCTTTAAAAGGCCGCTATGTACCTGAACAAACATTGGCAATCTGGTGTCATCCCTCAGTGGGGCAGTATAATGGTACAGAATCCACAAAGCCCACAGCACACAGTGGCACAGCTGACCTTTCCTCACACTTACCCTCATTCTCTTAGTCTCATCACTGTTTAAACGCCAGGCCACACAGTTTACATTGATTCAGAGAGGGTGTTTGGGCACAATGCCCACTGTAGACCCACATCTTGTCATTGTCCAATAAGGGAACATCACATGTAATTTCAAACATGTGCTTTTATTTACTGCCAGCCATAAAAGGAACATAAACAAAATAAAAACCTATACAGTCACATTATCTGCTCCACTGCGCCCTGGTTGCAGCACGGGCAGCATTATACCTGTGCTCAGCATCTGCCAGGGAGGTCCAGAATGGTGTCATGAACGATGGTCAGAGTGGGCAGCCTTGGACCCCAGGAATCAGCCTTGTAAAGCCCCTGGACTCTCAAACACACCCGGTACAGAAATGTAGGAGTCATAGTAGCTGCCGGGGTAGTGGGAACCTCCAGGAAGTGATAACAGTGATCACCTGACCATGAATGGGATGTAACTCCTTCCTATTGATGAATTTGGCAGCAATGTGAAAGGGCCCTCTCAGTGCCATTTGTCAACAGTAGATAGCACTCTGAGCCTGAGTATTCCAGCTATATTCCTGAACCCAACTGCCCAGGCTGCTGCACTGAATCTGTCCTGGGGAAATGAAATGAACCAGTGTGATCTTGCACAGAGAGCATTGGTCACTATCCTTGGAGACTGCTTTGTGGAACATCTATGCTTGGTTCGTGACAAACGACTGCACCTCCCAGTCGTGAACCACTTCAACTACCCCTCCCACTCCTTGGACGACATGTCCATTCTGGGCCTCCTCCAGTGCCACAACGATGCCACCCAAAGGCTGCAGGATAAGCACATCATATTTCGCTTGGAAACCCTGCAGCCCAATGGTCTCAATGTGGACTTCACAAGCTTCAAAATCTCCCCAACCCCGACCTCATCCCAAAACCAGCCCAGCTCGTCCCTGCCTCCTTGACCTGTCCGTCTTTTCTCCCACCTATCCGCTCCTCCCACCTCACTGACAAACCTCCACCGCCTCCTCCTACCTACCAGCCTCATCCCCACCTCCTTGACCTGTCCGTCTTCCCTTGAATGACCAACCCCCATCCCAACTCCCCACCTACACTCACCTTTACTGGCTCCATCCCCGCCTTCTTGACCTGTCCGTCTTCTCTCCACCTATCTGTTCCCCTATCCACCTTCCATCATCGCCTCCCCATCTCTCTCTATTTATTTCAGAGTCCCCTTCCCCTCCCCCATTTCTGAAGAAGGGTCCAGACCCGAAACGTCAGCTTTTCTGCTCCTATGCTGCTGTCTGGCCTGCTGTGTTCATCCAGCTCTGCACTTTGTTATCTCAGATTCTCCAGCATCGGCAGTTCCTACTATTTCTCTTGGTCACTATCATGATGTAATCCTAGTGATTACTTACTGTTGCAGAGCTCAAAGTAGAGCACTAGTTTAATGAATATTTTGGCTAGCATGGAGACATTGTAACCTGCACATCACAAGTTATTGCGCAAGACCAGTGCCTCGATACTGGGGATATTGGCCTGGGAGAAGATGCTCACATTATTACGCCTATCCTCCAAGTGGATTTGCAGGATTTTATGAAGGCTGTGTTGGTGATAACTCTCCAGGGATTTGAGGTGGCTGCTGTATATGGTCCATGTTTCTGATGCATACAGGAGGGTGGACACTAACCTGCGTGACAGATGATGAAACATTGGTCTCAACCTCACCCTTGGAAGTTGCGCAATAAATGGTTTGCCTCTGATCAGCACTGACCTCCTTTTATATAGTTGCTGCTAGGTTTAGCATCATTCAGATGCCAGTTTTCAGTTTGCAGGTACCAATGACATGGTGCAAATCTCCTTTTGACCAGCATTTAAACCCTAAGCACCTTCATTCTGCATGAATTGCAAATTTTCTTTATAAACATTCTCGGGATGAGGGCACCGCTGGCTAGGCCAGCGTTTATTGTCTTTATAGAATCCCTACACTGTGGAAACAGGCTCTTCAGCCCAACAAGTCCACACTGAACCTCAGAGCATCCCACCCAGACCTATCCCCCTGTAACCCACCTAATCTACACATTCCTGAACACTGTAGGCAATTTAGCATGGCCAATCCATCTAAGCTGCACATCTTTGGACTGTGGGAGGAAACTAGAGCACCTGGAGGAAACCCACACAGACTCGGGGAGAATGTGCAAACTCCACACAGACAGTCGCCTGAGGGTGGAATCGAACCCAGGTCCCTGGCACTGTGAGGCAGCAGTGCGAACCACTGAGCCACCGTGCCACCCAAGGGAAATACGTAGTTGGCAGGATTCTGCTCTGTTTACCCAAAAGGGCAGTTAAGAGTCAATCTCATTGCTGGAGGGCCTGGAGTCAGGTAAGGATGGCAGCCTCCCTTTGAAGTAACTCCACAGAATTCAGTATCCCATCATCAAATCACACTTTATTTACACACGGAGAGTCCTTGACACTGATCCAGTTCCCTCAGAGTGAATAGGATATCTGACAATCCTGTTTATATCTGTCAGCCAGGGTTCCCTGATTGGGGCTGCTAATCTGGTCCAACAGGGGAACTCCTATCCTATGAGGTACACCTAGCTGACCTTGTTACAATCACTACATCCCTCCCCTCTGAATCCGAGGACATAGGCCAGTCCTTCTTTCCTGGAGCTCTTCCTGGGGTGTTTTAGCACCGGGTCAGGTTCCTCCAACTCTGCCTCTGATACAGGCGGCATATAATGCACAATATCTTGCTTCTTGCACCTGGAGTATCTCGGAAGAAATTCATGCTCTTCTTCAGGCGGCAAAGCAGCAACATCTGCTGTGACCATCTCGGAATCTGAGCTATCTTCAACATCTGATGGAGACTGAGAACCCATGAGTTCCAGAACAGTCAGAAAGGCTGCCAAGGAGCTGGGTACATTTTGCTCCCGTGCCTTTTTCAGCATTTGCAGCGTTCATATTTTCCACGTGCTTGTTCAGGACTGTCGCTCCTACCTTCACTTTATCAGTCACTGGACGTGACCTCACGTCATCCATGCCTTTTACCCATGCAGGGCCATTCCTGTGGTTCCTACACCAAAATTCATGTCCTGAAGTAAACTATATCTCTTAGTGGAGTCTTGTGTCCGGCTCATCCATTCCTGATGCCGTTTCACACAAACTCCAGGTCCAGAATGATCAGGTTCAAACTGGTGCGGAGTCTTCTGCAAGTTAGCAACTTTTCTGGAGCTTTCCCTATAGTTGCATGAGGAGTGGTCTGTACTCAAATTGGAAGCTGTCGACTGTTTCTGTAAGCCTGCCTTCAAAGTTTGGAGTGCTTTTTCTGCCAGACCATTGGATGATGAATACCATTTCAATTCAGGAAATACTCACATTCTGTGGTGGTAAACAATGGCCTGTTATCTGTAACCAACATTTCTGAGCTTCCTTGTATTGCAAAAGACACGCACAGTTTTTCTAACATCATTCCTGGGTAATAAATGAACTCTAGTCACTTTGAATGGGCGTCCACAATGACTGAAAACATGAGCCCATGAAAGGACCTGCATAGTCGCTGTGTAACCGAGTCTATGATTTACATGGCTATTGTTGCCCAATTGTGCCACATTTCTCCCATAGCCCATGTTATTCAGATCCTTATAAGATTCTGCCCATAGAGTATGAAAGTGAATCTACATAAACTTGTTTGAGCCCATTATGTCAAAAGTCGCACGACATCAGGTTATAAACCAATAGGTTTACTTGATATCAAAAGCTTTCGGAGCACGGTGCCTTTGTCAGACAAAGTGAAGAGAATCACAAAGGCACAGAACTTATAGGCAGAGAGATCAAATAATTGTACAAATAGTGTGAGTGCAGTGTCGACAGACTGAATGACAAGTCTTTGCAGGTAATCAAAAGTGTTGAATGGTGTGAGTAAAGTGTCAACAGCTGAATAACAGGTGAAAGGATGACCCATGATCCGATTAATTGAGGCGGGGAGATAATTACAAAAAAACTAAAAATAAGATGGTGCTGGAGACAAACCAAATGGCTGGAATAACATGATAGGTATAAGAGTCACATGCCAAGGGTTTAACCAAAGTAACAAGGAATCCAAAACTCTGCAGACTAATTAATATAGAGAGATCATAACAAATTATTCAGGTGATGGTGTCAAAACAAGACAGTAAGGAAGACATTACAAATACAGAACAGTATGGCGGGGTTACATGTAGCGTGA